TATGAGATGTACTGGCTTGGAACGTACAGAATGAATCACTGTTGGTAAACATTGTCAAGACAGGAATGGGTTATGGTTTTGTCCCCGGAGATCTGTCTATATAACTATCATCCATTTGTTAGACTATATATTTTAGAAAGAAACCCTAATCTAATATCAGAATAATGTCAAAGACAAGGAAGGCAAATTTTAAAAATGCATGGACACTCATAAGAAAGATGGTATAATCTGTTAATAAAGTTGCGCAAAAGGGCTGAATGATCTTTATTTATGCTTTATAGTACAGCTGTGAAAATTAGAGGTTGTTTAATTTACTCTCAGTAAATTAGTAGTATTGTTTTTAATCACTGTTTAACATATGCAAAATAAATTATTTATCTCAAATATTAAAGTATTTATAAGATCATGATTCAACTATTTGCTATTTATCCTTCCCTGAGGTATTGGTTGGTTCCCAGACCTCAACTATGGCATCAAAACACAGTACAGTTATATATAAATAGATTCCTTGATGAAAATGGAGTCATGTGTATGTATCACGTTTACAAAAATATAATTAATATATAATTGTATTTTATATATTAATTATATTATAATTATGATATATAATATAATAATTATATGATATATAATATAATTAATATATAATTATATAAAATAAATATAATATCTAATTACAAAAATATAATTAATATATTAACAAAAGTCATATGTAGTGTTTGACTGTGGGTGTTTTTCTTAAAATTCTTAACTATTTAAAGTATTGCAGTATTTCCCATTATCTTATAACTCTATTTTTTATTTATGAAAAATAATTTTCTATTCGTTCAGTACACAGAAATTGATCATGGAAAATTTAATATTTGGCTCCTAATGATAAATATTTATCCTATGTATTGAGGCTTATCTTATATAAGTGTATCTCTTTGTTAACAAGTCTTATTTCCTTGTGGAAAATGAAATGTATTAAGAATTAAAGAATTATACATGTGGTTAGAAAGCTGACCTTTAAAGTCTCTACCAGTCTTGAAGTTTAATGTTTTTGAGATATTTGGCTGCCTTTTTTTTTTCAATAACCTCATATGTCTATAGAAACCCCAAACAAAATGCAATTTTGGTTTTACAATAATTAGCTTTGAAATATAACCTTCACAAAAGTATTTTATTATCTTTTAGGAGTCCATTAGGGTATAAAATCAATACTTTTGCCATTCTGTGGAGCATTTCATTTTTCTCAATATTTTCAAGAGAAACCACTGTATGTTTCCAATTTAACTTTTTTTTCTTCCCTAATGGAATTCTATACATAAATAAAATAGCTTTTCTAAATCTTTAAAACCTAATAGAAAATTAGCTGGGTTGTGATAGATTGCTTTACCTTTGTGGTGAAAAGACAGGCTAAGAGCTAATGGTTTTGAGTGTCCTTATGACACATCAAGTACCACTATTTTCTCAAAGGAGAACATTTGAAATTAAACAGGCATGAATTTTCTATTCCACCTCGAGTAAGGCAGAAGCCAAGATACTGTTTATGACCTCATCTCAGAAATTACATGTATGCATTTCTGGTATGTACTATTGTTTACATAAATCAACCTCTGCAAGTATTGAGCTTGGAGATTATAGCTCTCTATCCTCAATCATTCACCCCACATTCAAGAGAAGAAAACATCCTTAAGTGATAGATCTATTCATGAGAATAGTCTCAGTTGCATGTTCCCAAAGAGAGGGAACCATAAGGTGATGAAATTATATTGCCAAAATGAGCCAGTTTGGGGCATATTTTTGGTAAATGACAGGCGTCACTGCCTTCTGAGTAGAATTTCAATAGAACGTTACACTGGTGGTGGTCACAGAATGGGGGGATAAGCTTATTTTGAGTAGTATTAGTTTTCTATTGCTGTGTAACAAATAACTATAAAATTTAACACCCTAAGACAGTAAAACATTTGTTATCTTACACAGTATCTATTCAGAAGCAGCTTATTAGCTGAGTGTTTCTGGCTCAGTATTTCTCATGAGGTTGCAGTCAAGGTATCATCTGGGGCTGCAGTCATCTGAAGGCTTGAGTGCAGCCAGACAGGTTGTTTTGTAGGTGGTTCCCTCACATGCATGACAATTTGGTGCCGGTTGTCGGCAGGTGGCCTGAGTTCTTTACATTGGGCTTCTTGAGAAGTTCTCATGACACTGTGGTTCTTCCCTTGGGTTGAGTGATCCAAGAGACAGCAGGGCAGAAACCAGAATATTTTTTCAGAAATATTCTCAGAAATCTCAGAATAGTCTCAGAAATCACATGTAATAATTTCTGGTATGTACTTTTGTTTACATAAATCAACCCTATTCACAGTTGGAGGGGAAATACATGAGTTCACAAATTCTAGGAGGTGAGATTATCGGGAGCCATTGTGGAGCCAGAACACCATAGGATATGGTAATTCTTCTTTTGGGTTGTTAATAGAGCTGGTCTTGGGGAAAATAAGTTGTGTATTGTTTTGTTTTGTTTTTTAAATGTTCTTTGGGCTCCCATTTCTGTGCTTCTTTGAGCAACCTTCTGTTACTGGGTCCCAGTACTATCAAGTTGACCCCTTCTTCCTCCGGGGTCTGCTGTGGTGTGCTTCCTATGGTTAACAAACAAAATTCAGATGAGTAAATTAGAAGATTTCATTGGCTTTATTCAATGATTCATGAATCAGGCAGCATCTCATCTAGCAAGTAGAGGTGTGTTCCAAGGAGTTGTGCAAAATGGAAGATTTATATCAGAAGGAGGGTCAGGCAAAAATTGTAAGCAAAAGAAAAGAAAGGATTGTTCCAGGCAAAGTCACCTTCCCTTAGGGGGAAGAGAAGGTCTTATCTTTCAGATTACCTCATCTTCCTTTGGGGAATGGAGAAGGCCCATTGGCAGACTCCTTGGCATCATCCATCAGAAAATTCCTGACTGACCTGGTTAAGACTACATTACTGGGGAAGGTTGAAACTGCAGTTAGATCTAGGTAGTAAACGCCAGTTTAAGACTTGGGGCTTTAACCTACACGATGCCATTTGGGACCTTTGGTTTTCTTTTGTACACTGTCCTTCCTTTCTCACAAATTCAGCAAATATTTGAGGGCGAATTGTGTGTCAATCACTGTTCATAGAACTTACCATTTATAGTAGCTACTTTTCGTAAGAAGTTCTCTCCTATGATCTATAATTCCAGTTTGTACTATTAGTGTCCTGCTAAAATGATTGTGTTTCTAATAAGGTAAATGTGGTATTATGATTTATAATAAGAAACATATGGTCTTTGACCTTATTCCTGACACAAACTCCTAAAACCTTTGGAATTTTCTGTGATAAGAGCAATAAAGGTGTCTTAATTATGTTAATGAGGTGACTTTTGGAAACCCTCTAGATAACCTACGGTTGGGGGCTGGTTGTCAGAGGAATCAACCATGTGAGTAGGAGATTAGAAATTTCAGTCCCACCCCAGACTTTTGGGAAGGGAGAGGGGCTAAAGGTTGAATCGATGCCAATGGCCACTAACTCAATTAATCATGCTTATGTGATAAAGTCTCCATCAAGTCGCAAAAGGTGGGAGTTCAGAGAGTTTAAAAGTTGGTGAACAGGTGGAGATTTGAGGGGAGTGGCATAATCAGAAAGCATTGGAGTTCTGTGCCCTTTTCACACCTTCCGCTATGCATCTCTTCCATGTGGCTGTTCCTGAGGTATATCCTTTTTATAATAAACTGGTAATCTAGTAAGTAACGTGTGTCCTAGTTCTGTGAGCTGCTCTGGAACAGTAATTGAACCCAAGGCCAGTGTTGTTGGAACCTTCAATCTATAGGTCTTTCAGAATCTGCACATGTAACAACCTGGACTTATAGCTGATATCTGAAGTGGAGGGGGCAGTCCTGCAGCCCGAGCCCTTAACCTGTGGGATCTGATGCTATTGCCCGATAGCTAGTGTCAGAATTGAGTTAACTTATAGGATGCCCGGCAGGGGTCTAAGATTGCTTGGTGGTATGGGAAACCTCCTCTTCCCTACCCCATACATATTGAAACTGGGTCCAGAACCTTTAGTAAACAATCAAAGAAGAGGTCAATGATTGGCAGAATACCCTTAAAATAATATTTTATTTTAGTAGAGGTATTCTGTGATTTAATCCAAAAGAGGAAGGTGGAACCTGAAGACTGAGTAGATACTAAGCACCTTAGGGTGACTTTCTCATTTATACCAGTTTCACTGCTTTAAGCCACTTATAAGACTACTTTTGTTCGATTAGAAACATTGCCATCAAGCTATCTCATTCAGCGTGGTCTTTTTCACAGCGTGGAAGTGCAAAACTGGGGGAAATAAAAGTCTATTTCATGCTTAAATGGAGGCAAAAACATTAATATAGTTATCACCACAAGAACATGAGGATTATCAGAGATTAAAGTAGTGAATTTTCCCATTTCCTTTCAAAACTGACACAGTGTAATTTGAATTTCCCTAAATATGGTGAAGAGCCTTGGATCACTCTTTTATATGTATGTTTATATCCTAAGCCAGTGTTTCAGGGACTCTGGCATTTATATTTGTGATTAACTCTAAAACCTATTTCCATTGGGGCTTTTTTATTCCTTTCCCTTTCTCTCTCTCTCTTTCTTTCTTTCTGTTTTTCTTTCTTTCTTTCTTTCTCTCTTTCTTTCTTTCTTTCTTTCTTTCTTTCTTTCTTTCTTTCTTGAGTTTCAAAACTGTTTGGGCCAATAAATCTTTCTACGAATGTCAGATTGGTCAACATTGAGAAGGTAAATGGAAACTAATCACACTCATCAAGTTGATGATATGAATGATTTATTGGACCCAATCATTTAACACTTTCAAAAAGTCAATATTGGGGAAAGAAATGGGGCTCTTATTATGGTAAACTGTATTTGCGCTGTCAGCACTCAATGATTTATTACAAACCTGTGGCTAGGATTAGGATATTATAAATGGGGGGGGAAATGGAAAGCTCATTAATTTTTTATCCCCACAGGTGGAAGACATGCAGTGGGCTAATAGAGAACACACTCACCCGGCGTCTGTCTGCAGTCTGCCCTGTAAGCCTGGGGAGAGGAAGAAAACAGTGAAAGGAGTCCCTTGCTGTTGGCACTGTGAGCGCTGTGAAGGTTACAACTACCAGGTGGATGAGCTCTCCTGTGAACTTTGCCCTTTGGATCAGAGACCAAACATCAACCGCACAGGCTGCCAGCTTATTCCCATCATCAAACTAGAATGGCATTCTCCCTGGGCTGTGGTGCCTGTGTTCGTTGCAATATTGGGAATCATCGCCACCACCTTTGTGATCGTGACCTTTGTCCGCTATAATGACACACCTATTGTAAGGGCTTCGGGACGAGAACTTAGCTATGTGCTCCTAACAGGGATTTTTCTCTGTTATTCAATCACCTTTTTAATGATTGCAGCACCAGATACAATCATATGTTCCTTCCGCCGGATCTTTCTAGGACTTGGCATGTGTTTCAGCTATGCAGCCCTTCTTACCAAAACCAACAGAATCCACCGAATATTTGAGCAGGGCAAGAAATCGGTCACAGCGCCCAAGTTTATTAGTCCAGCATCCCAGCTGGTGATCACTTTCAGCCTCATCTCCGTCCAGCTCCTGGGAGTGTGTGTCTGGTTTGTTGTGGACCCCCCCCACATCATAATTGACTATGGAGAACAGCGGACTCTAGACCCAGAGAATGCCAGGGGAGTGCTCAAGTGTGACATTTCTGATCTCTCACTCATTTGTTCACTGGGGTACAGTATCCTCTTGATGGTCACTTGTACTGTGTATGCCATTAAAACGAGAGGTGTCCCAGAGACTTTCAATGAAGCCAAACCTATTGGATTTACCATGTATACCACCTGCATCATTTGGTTAGCTTTCATTCCCATCTTTTTTGGTACAGCCCAGTCTGCAGAAAAGGTAAGTACAAGAATGCATATGCCAACCCTTCTCTGGATTTAACTTCTTCCTTTAGGATGCTTTCCCACTTTTCTTTTGGCTTACTTATATTCTCTCAAGATGATTCAGTCTATTTTATTCTTATAATCATGAAATCCCTCAAGGTCACTTAACTTTGAATATGTGTTGACTAAGGTTGATTTTCCATGAAGAATGCTTTCATGTGTCCACCTTGGCAGAACTGAAAACTGAAAGATCTCACATTACTTTCTGGGTTTCTCTTCCCAGGTCTGTTATTTACTAAGATGACTGTTTTTTTTTTTTTTTTTTTTTTTTTTTTTTTTCCTAATGTTAATTAAAAATGAATGGGAGAAAAGAAAGTCAGACATAATTCATAGGGATGAGCTATCCCAGAGATATCCCATTGCATGACAAATGCCTCCTTTTCTGGTTGTAATGTGACTCTGGGAAAAAGCTATTCCTTAATAATTATGATGGTTTTAGTTATGGAGGCAGAGCTTATAGTAGAGCAACAACCACTACAAAAAAAAAAGCTGAAATGGCTTAGTTCGATCTGTGCCATCTTGCTACTTCCCTTCAGCCTCCATTCTTATCACTTTTCCATATGTGAAAGGTGATGTTGAAGGATTTAAAAAAAAGATAGCAATGGGCAGTTATACAAAAAGCAGTTTCTAATTTTTCAGAAGGTGAAGATCAATTAAATCTCTTAAAATAATTTTCTTTTGCCACGAATCTCCAATTAACCTTTCTCACATAAATCACTGCAAGTAAAGAACATCTATATGTGAAAGGGAATACGTGCTGAACTGGATACTTGTAGTTTATGTCCAGAAAAGCAGAGAACTAAAGTTAAACATGAATTCCAAGCTTTGGGTAGTTTAACGGAGACAAGCTGTTTTATAAAACAAAGGCAAATGCTATCTTTCTGAATGAATAGTCCTTCAGCCCTAATGTGCATATGAAAAAGTTATTCTCTCAGAATGAGGGTTTAAAGATTCTTCCACTCTCTGTCATCAGAAGTTAGGAGGAAATCAAGCATCCTGGGGGCAATTACATTCCCTAGTCTCTAACATTCCAAGTGAGGTCATGCATGACTCTTGAAATCCCAACTAATTCAGAGGAAAAAGTACTCAACAAGGGCACAGAGAGCTCATTAGTATGAGCATTCATCCCTTACTAGATCAATGTGGCTTTCAACCATGTTTGGACAAAAAAAAAATGTACTTCAGCAAACTTGCTGCTGAATAGAAAAAACTTACCATGGGTTCCAGACCTGTGACCTTTCATGAGTGAGATGGTCTGATAGAAGTCCATGAATATTTTATGTAGGACCAAGCACATGGCAGGAAAATAAAGTAAGGCAGTTTGACGCTCTAAACCCAATAAACATTATATTTTGACATATGTAGATAGGAATTTATTAGGATCAAACTTGTAAATTTGACTTAGGAGAGAATGCATGAGCTGGAAATAAATCTCTCAATGTCTGTTGGGTCTGTTTTGATATAGTTAGTTGAACTAGTCAGGGCAAAACAATATTCTTCAGAGTCTGGAAATGTCTGCATTAGGTGAATTATTAATAACATTAAGTGGTACTTGTATTTGTATTTGAACCTAGGACTGCCTTTTTAAATATACTGTTTTATCTGAAAAGGGGCCATAAGTAGTTTATTTTGCTTTCTGGGTAATGAATACTTACCCAGACAAAATCTCCTGAGTTCTGACATCTAACTTCCTTTTCTTTTTCTCTCTCTTGCTTTACATTTTATAAATGATCCTCTACTCTTACTTTTCACATTGTGACTTTCAAGGGCAGTGGGGGTAGAGCAAATACAAATAAGATGATACGTCTGTTTGCATAAGTCTTTCAGTGCCTCAACTTTTAGAATAAATAAAATCATGGTACGACATTAAGCAATTAGTATCATTACAGCAGTGCAAGCATGCATTATACGAATAAGCATTCTTAAGGTATTCGAAAAAAGGTGACCATTGTCTCTCCGAACTAGAATCCTGCTAAACTGGAGCTGTCCCTCAGCAGCAGTGCCGGAAGAAGGAAGAATTTCAGGGTAAAATGGGCAGGAGAATACGCTGAGGGCGGGGAGAGACGGCTGTGCCACCGCGCCCTAATTGCCGCTGAACACGTGTCTGAGACCTGGAGTTTGTGTGTATATTTTCAGGGACAGACATTTCCATGCCTACAGAGGTCTGACTGAATGCTAGACACAATTCATTTTTTTCTTTCTTAGCTTTGTGGAATCAAAGGAAGTCAGAGAAGCACATTGTGAGACAAATTAGAAAATGTGTTAAGTGGATTTATTTTGTTTTCATGATATAATGGAATGTGGAAAAGACTGAAGAACTCAGTAAGAAACGCAAATTGTGGGAATCTTCAGAGCATTGTAATGTCCTTAGATTATTTAGTCAGTCTTAGGAGCTACTGAATTTAGACAGGCTCTGCATCAAGAGCTGTAAGAAGCTAAGATTTGGCTACTGAGGTATTTTATAGAATACAATTATGTGTCATCCTAAGGCTTCACATAAAATTTGCTACCTGCTTGCTATTCTCTGTCAAAATATCCTTACTATTCAAAACAGTACACAAAATGCACGAGAAGATTTCTTTTTCACGTTGCTAAAATAGTTGACACCGATATTAAAAGTGAATAAAATTCTCTATCTCTAAAAAAAAAAAGCTTTATATAAGTGTTATTGACTTGGAGGACCAAAGAGCTGGTCAGTCCTCCATTCTCATTTCTAATGCTCAGCCAATTAGCCCACGTTATCAACTTGAAGTGTTTGTAGCAGGCAATACACACATCCATTAATTCAGTAGATCCTTATTGAGCATTGTGTCCAGTATTGTGCTAATTATTGAGCCCGTGTCAGTCCGCTTCCCTGAGCCTTCCTTGTAAGGCTCAGTCTGGCCGATACCTGCCTGACGCCTGCCAGCACGAGCAAGGTGCCAGGCTCAAAGGCAGGAGAAGATGAGGCTCAAGGGCAGGGGAAGATGGTGAGGAGTCAGATCTGAGATGAGAAAGCAAACAAGAGAGGTATGCATCCTGTAACTGTATGTCAGTGACATAGAATTCATAACACAGGAGACCGCAGAAGAGCAGAATTTCTTTCGGTATGCATTTAATTATGCTTCTTAGAGTAATCTACAAAAGAAAACTCATCTAACCATACAGGTCTCTCTGAAATCATAACAGAAGTAGGAATAAAAGCTAAAATTAGTTGAATAATTTAGACAGATGTTTTGGAAAACCCCTGGGTAAAATCAAATTATAAAGGTACATTTTAGCATTCATAAAGACAGACAGCTCTGTGAAGTAAGTCTTTATTCAATGATAAAACACCATTTAATTTCCCCACCTTTTTTTTTCAGATTTTGAAATCAAGTTGAATCATGTTTTTCCAATAGAAATTAATGACATCATTTATTAGATTTGTGCCTACGGCTGCATTCCACTAATTCCTAGTGGAATTTTCTTTTCCTATAGAAAAGTGGTGTGAAGGAAGGGTTGACACACTGAGGCATGGTCATGGACTCATGCAAACTCTCATAATTGTACTGAAAAGACAAAAATAATAAAATAGAATTAGTGCAATAGACAGGACAAGAATCCTCAGGGATGGTGAGGGGCTGTTAGGATGGCAGAAATCTCTTGGATACATATTTTACCACCTCTAATTGCACTCATAAAGCCAAGGTAATCAGACAAGGGTTATGACATTGCCAAGCTGCAAAGAGCACAGTGCTTCAACCAGATCATTGGGTGGAAAACAAACAAAACACCCTCAAAGCAGAAAAGAAAGCAAAACTCAAAAATTTCAAAAACCCCCATATGCTAAAGCAACCTTTCTTCCCTTGGTGCATCATGGTCCAGTAGCTCAAGTCAGAAACCTGGGAATTGTCTTAGACTCCTCCCTCAGCACTCTCCCACTCTTTTATTTCTTCCTCTCACCTGCAGGTGTCATCCTTGAAAAATTCCTGAGGGGAAAGAGTATCCATTTAATGTATATCTGAGTGAATATGTCTCTTAACATAGAGGCTTTCATGTAGTACCTTCTCAGTGAATGCCTACTCAATGTGTCCACAGAGTGCCTTGCACAATAGCGATCTAATATAATACTGTAATGCTTATTTATGATTTCAATTAGACTGTGATACAATGGGAATCTTATATCTTCATCTTATTGTGATCCCCATTACAACAACTTTTTTTTTTTCAGGAAAACAAGTTTCCTCATTCTAATGATGGGCCATATGCATTTCTTTTAAAAAATGTTGTCATCACTTATTCTGAAATAGGACTGCTAAATACGTAGGGAGAAAGGCAAAAAGGAATTATTATAGTTGTCTTAGTTCTGTCTAGAATACAGAGAACAAATGGGATTTGGTGCAATTAATCAAATACTTTTGTCTTATCATCCTTCCCTCGTTCTTTTACTGCATCTGTCTGTTGAAGGGCAGAAGAGTATGGGGGTACAGAGATGGATAATGGGAGTAAGGAAGAGCTTAAGCTCTGGAGAAGGTGGATGTGGGTTCAAATCCTGACTCTGCTAAATTGGCTGGGAAAACGTCGGCAAGGGCTATACTTCTGAAGGTTGTAATAAATTCTCCTGGAGAATGCAAATTCACATGGAAAGCAATATAAAGCAGTCACTTGCCATCTGTACCCAGCCCTACTCTAGAACTCAAGCAGACTTGAGCTCATATCCTCTAGAAAAGGCAGGAAGATGGGTGACTTCAATAAAAACAAATGCTTCTTTTGTCTCATTATGGTGTGTTTTTTGGTACTAATAGATACCTCAGGGTAGTTTTGCTGAGAATGACATGATATGAGTCATGACAGGTGTTTAGCATGTAATAAGTTCATTCCTTGTTGGCTGTTACTATTATTAGGCTATAATTTATGAGGACAGGGATCTCATTTGGTTTTGCTCACCATTATATCCTCATCACCTAGTTGAGGACTGGGCCAGCATAGAGTCTC